TCTCAAAGAGCTTACTGTGAATCAGTTTTCTTGAATTTTTCTTTCCTCTGTAAAGAAAGAAAATCTACAAAGTATGGTTGAAATATACTTATATTTTTCTACTTCTTGTTGCCAGAAGATTAGATACACTAAGGACTGGTCCTATATAGTTATTTCTTGTTGTTTTGCTAGTTTTTATTTAAAAATTTCTTTTTGTATTGTAGCTGGCTTCTTTTGTTTTTCAAGAAAATTACTAAAAAAGGAAATTTTTAGGAAAACTGGGGATCAGCGGAAAGAGTTTTTTTTTATTGTTGCCACCATATTAATATGCTTCCAGGTAATATTTGAATATAAAAATTGTTCATTAATTTATTATCAGATCTAGATTTGATTGTTTTAATAACTAATATTTTGACTAACTTATTAATTTGGATGTTTATATAATATATGTTGCTTCTGCCATAAGCGGAGTTTGTCAAGTCATAGCCATTACAAGCTGTGAGTGAAAAGTTGTTTGAATATTGATAATATCTAAGCTTGATTTGTTCCTTGTTACTACTTAATCTTTTTCTTATTGCTAGTTATTAATTAATTGTTGTTGAGTACCAGACAGATGTACTGGTACTAGTTGGGGTGTATTCAATTTGAGTGAATGTATTGGTATCCTGTGTGCTTTTTTTGTTTTTAAGGAAGGTTGAGCTGATTGAAGTGAAATTGAAGTATTATTCGAGTTTCTTTCTTTTAATTAATTTGTTATATAGTCCCTTTACTTAATATCACAATAGTATTTTGGTTTTGAAGGTGTCTAAGGTCTGTTCTATATACATAATGTGATAATATTTCAGGACATCACTGTATATGTAATACCAGTTTTGATCAGTAATCTTGCTTATATAATAGAGTTAATCCTTGAAACTATTGGCTTTGATTCTATTGAAGACAATTATATTGTTTTATTAAAGGTTGTTCATAACATCATAGTAGAAGTTGTGCCTTGTTTTGAAGAAGGTAAGTAGTTCTCTAAGATAAAGTCTTTCTACCAAGCAAACCATTGTAGGTTTTGGATCCTGTTTCAGCAAATCTGTTACATGGTGTTTTAGACTATGTGGAGATCTTGCAGGTCATTCATATGTTTTTGAAGTTGTCTTGTTTGAATATCATGAATACTATAATGTGTTTTGAGGTAAAGGATAGGGTCAGGGCTATTGCTGCAAGATTGGTTTTGTATTTTATACTTCTTTTGATTCTATAGTTAATTTTTTAGAATTCTTGTTGGCTTAGGACTAGGTCTCTAGTTATGTATTCAATTGTTGGGAAGAGGACACTATTGATTATATATTTATGCATCTTGTCATTGCTTGTTTTTCTTTCTACTATGGAGCATATTATATTAGTTTTTTTTCATATTAAATTTTTTGATTTTTTTTTCGAGGCATATTTTATACCATACATTTAGTACTCTGATAACATTGTTTTTGTTGATAGGATCAATGGTGTGTTTCTTAATAGTAATACTTTGCTATTAGGTATTTAGGATAAGTAGTTTGGATTTGTTGAGGTTGATGGTGATATCATTGAACAAGTAAAAGGAGTTATTGATGTTGATGATGTCTTTCAGATATTATTTGTTTTGAGTGATGATAGTTGTGTTGTTTATATAGATTACTATGAAGATGTTTATATTTGATTGTGTGAGGTTATAAGAATCTTATATATATGTTCAGAGGTTGTATCCAGGTATGTTGCTGATTCTGGTGATGAGCGGAGCATAGTGAATGTATCAAAGAATGGGTAATATAGTGTTACCTTGATTGATTCCTTTGTGAACAGAATAGAGATCTGTGTTTTTGAAGTATGTAATTACTGAGTTTTCTTTATTAATAAAGTAATTTTGAATTATAATAGTTATTTTGATTGGGATTTTGATCCTTTGTATGACTTTAATCAACCAATTGATGTTGACAGTGTCGAAAGCCTTGCTCATATCTTGAAAAAACATGTAGCATAATTTGTGTAATTCTCAGGTATCCTTTAGAACTCTATTAATGATACAGATCAGTTCCCTGGTACTTTGTTGGGGTAGGGCAGCCCAGTTATATTCAGAGAGTATGTAGTACTTGGTTAGTGTATTTGATAGTCAGGTGCAGATAGCTTTGATGAATATCTTTTTAATAGATTTCAATTGTGTTATAGGTCTAGTGATGTTTATATTATGTTTCCAATCTTTGGATTTGAGGATAGGATATATGGTATCATGTTTCCATTTACTGTATCTGGTATCTGTTTTTTAGTAAGAATTATGTTGAAAAATCTAATTAAGCCTATCAAGCTTTCTTTGTTGATATATTTGAAAGCAATATATGATATATTCGATGTGCTGGGGACAGATTTGTTACTTGTTTTACTAATGATAATTTGTATCTCCTCCTTAGTGAAGGGCTGGGTGGTGGAGTTATACCAGCTGGCTTCGATGTCCTTCTTGGGTTGATATTCTGTATTTCAGATAGTGCCCTCAATATTCTTGATATCACGTTGATATGTTCAATCTTCAAAATATTGTCAAATTGTTTGCTTAATCTGGGTAGGGTTCGTAATGACTGTTTTTTTATGTTGAACTTCTTTAATAAGTCTATTGATTATAATGCTTTGTTTAGGTTAGTTGAGTAGAGATCTGATCATTTGCTTTTTATTTGTATTAAACCAGTTCAGTTGTCTGAACCTTGCTTTTTGATATCATTTCTAATTCGTTAATCAATGGATTTTTTGTGTTTGAGTTTTTTGGTGCAGATCTATTGCTTGATTTCATTAATGGTTATGTCCAGGTTATTGCTTTCTTTGAACATTAAGGAGAGAATCTGTTCTTGGATATTTCTATTTAAAGATGATAGGGTGGATGAATTAAATTTTGAGTTGTGATTCTGGAGGTACATAAGTTGATACCTTGCTTCTGCTAGCTGAAGCAGGAGTATGAGTTTTTATGCAGGGATGTTTTTAGTTCTTTTTCTTTTTCTTTTTTTATATTTTATAATATGGTTGTTTGCTACTACTAAGATTCAGTTGCAAAAGGTAATCCAAAGTTTGTTAATACATGTGTCATTATTTATTATCTAGTTCCAGGTATACATATGTGAGTCTATGAATTTTATAAACTTTTGCCAGAACTGTTTAGATGTTATTACCAAGTTGAATCTAGTTGCTTTTGTAGGATGATGGAAGTTTTTGGTGGGGATTTGAAGTTGTCATATTTCTATATGTATTGAGACTGCTCTATGATCCATAACTATATTTTGTTCTGTAATATATGCATCTATGGAATATCAGGTTGGATGCAAGAAGATCCAAATTGTATTTATTTTACTTTTTGGGAAGTTTGCTATCCACTTGGTAGACTATGTGTATTCTTTAGAGTATGGATAAAGGTAACAATATGTGTCTATCATGTTCATTGTAATAAGTTGATCGAAAAAAGATTCAAGTTTGTTTGAGTGGTATTTTCTTGTAGGATTGTACTTATCTTTGTGATAGTTGGAATATGCATTGAAGTCATTGGCAATAATTATATGCCAGTTTTTATTGTTGTTTTTGACAAACAGATTAATTATTATTTGTGTTAGTCTTTTCTTTTGCTAGCTGGATATAGCAGGTAGATATATACCTATGATTCATATGTATTTTATTTTTAGAAAAGCAAGGTCGATTCAAAGGATTTTACCTTTGAATCTATTGATGCTGATAACTTTATTTCTGAGATTTTGTTAGATTGTGATATCGATACCTGTATTGTAATCTTTGCCTTTCTACCAGGTAGTATATGCATTTGCTTTCCAAGATTGTGTGTTATTGTTCTGATTTGTTTCAGTTGAGATTATAATATTTCATTGTTGTTGTGCTCATGTCTTTTCCCATATAAAGCATTTTGTTTCATCTTTGAATCCTTAACAGTTTAAAGTTGTAATAGTAAGATAGAATTAGTCTATAGAATTGGGGTTGTTATGTTGTTGTGGTGAATTTATTGGTTTTGAGGTTAGTAGGGGTATGTCTTGTATTTGAATATCTGAGAGATTGGTGAGGTTAATATATTCTGTATTCTTGTTTGATTGCTCATTAGTTACTTCTGAATTCTTTAGATTGTTTTTATTGTTTTCTCTTATTGTGAAGTGAATAGAGGAGTCGAGTTCAGAATTAAGGTGAAGATCACATTCATAATTGTATTCATGTTTTGGTCCATTTTATTAATGGAAAAGTAGAGTTGGTGTTAAAGATGGGTTCCTAAAAATGGAGACAGGGATAAAAGTCAAATGTCCCTCACTAGAAAACATTAAAAATTTTAAATTAATAACTATAAAAAAACTATTCACAATTGTTCTCCATTATCTAAATCATTGATTTATATCATTTTCTGACTTTTGTTCATATTAAAGTAAAGAACTATGAATTTTGACCCTCAAAAAAGAACATTAGTGATCTGTAAAATTTTATATGCTAAATACTTTAGAAACCTATCATTAGTTGGTATTGTGTCTCTTATATGTTTTGATTTTGGTTTAAAGATGATGGTTGTATAGAGTTGTGGAGTGAGAGTATCTTGAGATTTGTTTTTATATTGCCTACATCATTTTCATCATAGTATTCAAGGTTGATAATGTGTTCAAGGTCTGAAATAGTTTCTTTAATTTTGATGATTACTTCCTTGATTGTATTAAGAGTTTATAGGATACTGGAGAGAAGATCTTGTTTTTGATTACTTTGTAGTTGGTGATGGTAGTGGGATCAAAGAGCTGCAATATATGATCTGTGTGCTTTTATTTTCAGAGCAGTTAGGGTGTATTGACAGATGTTTCTGGTGCCTATAGGCTGGAATTTGTTATATAGCTTGTCAAATCTTTTGTCTTGTTCCTTGTTGTATTCAGTCCATTGTTATCATGTTTTCTTTCCGGAGAAATGAGCAGCTAGATGGTTAGTTTGATCACAGATGGCATAAAGTTTGGTGATTATTGGGAGGAATGTAATATCTGTTTCCCCTAATATGAATACTTTGTTTATGGCATTGTCAAGGTCAGTTTTGATTTCAAAACTAATCACTGCAAATCTTTTTTTGATATATGACATACAGTGGGAAATGTAACAAGTTTTGGTATTAATTTGTTCTGATATATGTTTGAGATCGAATGCTGTAGTGTTGAAGGAAGACCTGTGAGTTTGGCTATGATAGAGACCTTGTTTTTCATCTACTTCATATTGGGGATTGCTTCAAAGATCCTTATTAAGTCTTCCTTGATTATTATACTACCCTGAGTTATAAATTGATCTCTGCTCTTTTTGTTTTAATAGGTGATAGACACAATTTGTTACATTTGTTGAGTTCGCATGATAATCTTGGTGGTCATTTCAAATTTGGCAAAGATAAGTTGGACATCTATGAGTTTTGTATATAATAGGATGTCTCATATTCTGATACTGTTTTCTAGTTTGAAAACAGGGCTGTTGATCTCCATGTGCATGAGTTTCTTATTGTCTATATCTGATAATATTATAGTGCTTCCAGTTTGAGCTACTTCTTCATTGCTGAAAAGAGCTGTGATGTAGAGAGTGTTGTCGTGGGATTCACTTCTGATGTTAAGAAGATTTTCGTGTAATCCAAGGGCTCTGGTTACTGCAAGAATCTTTTTACTGATGGTTTCATCAGAGACTTCATCAGCTATTATGTTGATTTTACTTCAAGTTCTATCATATCTGATTTGAGAGTTGAAGGAGGATTTGGGTCGAGGACAAAAGTTTCTATTTCCTACTTTTTGTCACTTTGTATTGAATAATGTGGGTTCTTCATATTCAGGTTTACTGTTATCCATCATTTCAGTGTTAGAGTTGTTGATTCTCTTGAGTTGTGTAGTGAGTTTCTTGCTATTGGATGTCTTTTTTACTTTTTCTTTAGGAGAGGGTTGGAGGGAAGTGAGATTAGGTTCCAGTATTTGTCTTGCTAGGTTCTTCTTGACTTGTTCGCTTCAAGATTCAGTATTGTTGAGTTGGGTATTCATTAAAGAGTTGGGATTTCAGAAGTTGGTGGAGAGTGTCTTATTGGAGGTACTGGTGTATATATATGTACTAGGGGAGTTAGGTCCAGTGAAAATATTAGATTTCTTTATGTTTTTTATATTTGTTTCTTTTCTGATGGGATTGGTCCTGCCCTTGAAAAGTGTATTCTCATTGTAGTTGGACCTTGAGTAGAAATTGGCACTCCTGATTGTTCTTCACATGTTGTGTTTTGGATAAAAATTTGGTTTCCAGTTTATTGTATCACAGATGAATAGAAAAGAGATATGTATTTAATAATGGACTCTGATTCTTATATAATCTTTCAATTATATTATATAACTTTTAATATTTTCTAGTAGTTATATTTAATTAAAGGAATTTACTAAAAAATATATTTTATTATTCAAATAGTTAAATTTTTTAATAGTTTTTTTACTTTACAATAGGAAAAGAATATTTTAAGTAGTATAAATTCTTATCAATTATAATATTATTATATAATATCTGAGAAAATGCATTCTCAATCTTAGATAAAAATAATGGTTTACAATCTTCTGCTTTTTAGTTTTACTATCAGATCAAGATAAGAAGATAACCTCCTTTATGTATTTGTTTGACTGAAATAATAAGAAGTTAAAGATCTCAACTTGAACAAATAACCATCTTTATACTACCTAGGAAATTTAATGTTTATTCTTATGGTTTAATAATTTCTTTACTTTAGTTACATTTTATTTGAAGAAGTGAAGGATTTTGTATTAATATATTTTTTTTCTTTTATTAATAATATTGGAATGGAAGCTCAGCCTCATTTATTAACTTGATAAAGTAATTTACAAATTTAATTGCAGGGAATACATATTTTTA